AGGGCGTCCGGCACCGGCTGGCTCGCGCCCTGAACCCGGCCAAGCTCACGCCGTATCTGCGCCAGTGCCGGGTCATCGACGAGCAGGACGAGGAGGAGGTGCTGAGTACCTACCGCTTCCCGTGCCGCGTCAACCGCACCGGTGAGCCGCGAGGCCCGAGTGGGTCACTACCCGGGCCGGCCATGCCCTTGGCGCAGCGCCCAGAGCCGTGGAGCGCGAAGCTAGGGCTCTGCTGCCCTGAGGCTCGGTCTCTGCATCCGTAAAGTGGGCCGGCTGGGTATGCCCACCAGCCTGCCTCCTCCCTAACAACCACTGCGCCCTGGTGGTCCGCGTTGCACACACCGGCGTCAGAGTTTTGTCTCGGAGTTCTCTCCCACTTCCTGGGTCCACATTAGAGCAGAGGGTTGGATGTGGCTGCCAGGGCCGGCTGGGCCTGGGACCTGCCGGTCACAGCTGGCGGACTTGGCACCTTTCCTGCGCTCTTTGATGTCTGAGTTCTGTCTGTCCCCTCCTCTGTGCGCCACACACTCCTGGGGCAGTCATTTTTCAAGTGTCAAGACCCATCTCAGCTTTACGAGGGTCCACGACCCTCTCCCACAGGGTGTGCCTTTGAACCAGAGCTCACAAAGGCATGATGGAATGGTCTTAATGGTGGAATTTCAGGCATGGCCAATGGGAGAAGTATTTTCTTTGCTTCTGGGGATAGAGGGGCTTCTCTGTGCCACTGAAAAGGCAGGCTGTATTTGCGGGCCCGCATCTGTGTCTGTGGGGGGTGCTGGGGAGCTCTGGGAGCCCAGGAGTCATGAGGGAGTGTGCTCCCCTGGCTATGGCAGACTGGCTCTCTTCTCTTCCCTGATGTGTTGGGACAGGCCCCTGTGTGTGTCACTGGCTCAAAAATTTGGGGAACGTGGGCCTGGAGCATGGTGGGGGCAGAAGCAACCAGGCACCTGGGGAGGCCCTCCCCTGGACCCTGGGTGCATCCCCCCACTACTCTCCAGGGCGCCTGATGGACATCTTGCGCTGCCGTGGCAAGAGGGGCTATGAGGCCTTCCTGGAAGCCCTGGAGTTCTACTATCCCGAACACTTCACGCTGCTCACGGGCCAGGAACCTGCCCAGCGGTGCTCCATGATCCTCGGTGAGTGGACCTGCGGTGGATGCTGGCACCTCGGCCTCCAGTGCACAGGCTCCTTCCCCCATCCCTATTAGGGAGGCGCTCCACTATGCCTGTTGAACAGTAAGGGAAACTGAGGCATGGAGCGGCTGAAGGGGCTTGCGCAGGGCCCCACGGTAGGCTGAGGGTGGGGCTGGATGCTAGTGCTGTTATTCCAAGTTCGGAGCCACATGCTTAAGATGGCTCTTTCTCCCTGATTCTGTTTTCAGACATATGTCTGACATACGCAGATGTACAGTTTTTTTTATGTAAAAAATACAGAGGCTTCAGGTGACTTTGAATTTTTTTTTTTTTTTTTTTTTTTGTGAGACAGAGTCTTGCTCTGTCACCAGGCTGGAGTGCAGTGGTGTGATCTCGGCTCACTGCAACCTCCGCCTCCCAGGTTCAAGCAATTCTCCTGCCTCAGCCTCCTGAGTAGCTGGGATTACAGGCATGAGCCACCATGCCCCGCTAATTTTTGTATGTTTTTTTTTTTTTTTTTTTTTGAGACGGAGTCTCTCTGTCGCCCAGGCTGGAGTGCAGTGGTGCAATCTTGGCTCACTGCAAGCTCCACCTCCCGGGTTCATGCCATTCTCCTGCCTCAGCCTCCCGTGTAGCTGGGACTACAGGCGCCCACCACCGCACCTGGCTAATTTTTTGTATTTTTAGTAGAGACAGGGTTTCACCGTGTTAGCCAGGATGGTCTCGATCTCCTGACCTCGTGATCCGCCTGTCTCGGCCTCCCAAAGTGCTGGGATTACAGGCGTGAGCCACCGCGCCCGGCTATTTTTGTATGTTTAATAGAGATGGGGTTTCATCATGTTGGCCAGGATGGTCTTGATCTCCTGACCTTGTGATCCGGTTGCCTCGGCCTCCCAAAGTGCTGGGTTTACAGGCGTGAGCCACTGTGCCCAGCTGAATTTTTTTAATGTAAAACACACACACACGCCTACATGTGTATTTTGCTTTTTTTTTTTTTAGAACAACTGATTTTATTGATTCTTTCACGTCTGTTACATGCACTTGTTTTAAGTGACTGCATACTATTCATTAGTGAAGTTAGGACATAATTCATTTAACCCATTTCCAGTTGAATGGATACCTAGGTTTCCATTTTCGTATTATTACAACGATGCTGGGAACATCCTTGTATGTGTGTCTTTGTGCCAATGCGTCTCAGGCGAAGAGGTTCTGAGAATAATTTCTCAAAGAGTCTGTGTATTTTAACTGCTAAATCAACATACCTCCTACCAGGAGTGTGTAAGTGCCCATTTGAATCCTGGGGATCATGTTTAAATATTTTTGCCATTCTGATATGTAAAAAATAATGTTACTGTTTTAAGTTTATATTTCATTGAGTGATACAGTTCCCAGGTTACTATTTATTAAACCTTGGGTAAATAACTGCTCTGTGCTTCAGTTTTCCTGTTTTTGAAATGGGTACAATAATAGTACCTACCTTATAGTGTTGTCATAAAGATTAAATAAGATGTATCTAGCACAAAGAATTAAGTTAACAAATATTAGTAGCTACTGTAATTATTGTTGGTAGGTTGGTGCATATTTTCCTGTATTTATTAGCCATTTTTATTTTGGGACTTGCCTATTGATAGTTTTTGTCCATATTTTTATTTGGTCGTTGATCTTTTCTTATTGATTTGTAGGAGCTCTTTATATATTATGGCTCTGAGTTTTTGTTATATTTTCTCCCACTCTGTTGCTTGTTAACTTTGATACATCTTTCATTTTTCAGAAGTTTAAACTTTTCTTTTTTTGAGATGGAGTCTCGCTCTGTTGCCCAGGCTGGAGTGCAGTGGCGCGATCTTGGCTCACTGCAAGCTCCGCCGCCTCCCGGGTTCATGCCATTCTCCTGCCTCAGCCTCCCGAGAAGCTGGGACTACAGGCACCCGCCACCGCACCCAGCTAATTTTTTTGTATTTTTAGTAGAGACAGGGTTTCACCGTGTTCGCCAGGATGATATCTATCTCCTGACCTCGTGATCCGTCTGCCTCGGCCTCCCAAAGTGCTGGGATTACAGGCATGAGCCACTGCGCTCGGCCGGTGTAAACATTTTTATATGGATTTGTCCATCTTTTTTCTCTTACAACTCCTGGATTTTGTGTGTTGTTTAGGAAGACCTCCCCTGCTCCCAAATTCTACAAACATATTCCAGAATTTCCCTCTAGTGTTTTTCTGATTTGAGTTTTTTGACACAGTCTACTATCTCCTGGATTTTACTTGCCTGAGCTGCCTATTCTGTCCCCTGTTCTGTCCTGGCAGATGAGGAGGGGCCTGAGGGCCTGACCCAATTCTTGATGACAGAGGTGCGACGGCTGCGGGAAGCTCGCAAGAGCCAGCTGCAGCGGGAGCAGCAACTGCAGGCCCGGGGCCGGGTGCTTGAGGAGGAGCGGGCAGGGCTGGAGCAGCGGCTGCGGGACCAGCAGCAGGCTCAGGAGCGCTGTCAGCGGCTGCGGGAGGACTGGGAGGCGAGCAGCCTGGAGCTGCTGCGGCTCAAGGATGAGAACTACATGATCGCCATGCGCCTGGCACAGCTCAGTGAGGAGAAGAACTCGGCTGTACTTCGCAGCCGTGACCTGCAGCTGGCGGTAGGCCCTGGGGAGATGAGTCAGGGAGGCAAGGGAAGGGGCAGCTTTTGCAATATAGTAGCCAGCCAGCCTGCGTCCCAGAGCAACCATTGCTGGCTCTTTGACATGGATAAGTCCTTTTAGTGCTCGGTGTACCTACTTCATTGGGTCATGACTGTAATTCTCAATGGGGGGTGATTTTGACCCCCTAGAAACATTTGGCCACGTCTGGGAGACATTTCTGGTTGTCACAATTAGTGGGGATTTATTGGCATCTGGTGTCAGGGATGCTGTCAAACGCCCTACAGGGCACAGGACAGTCCCCAACAAAGAATTACCCAGCCTAAAACGTCGGTAGGGCCGGGGCTGGGAAACGTTGGGCTATGAGGATTCAGTGAGTTTTTTTTTTTTTAGTGAGACGGAGTCTCACCCTTGTTGCCCAGGCTGGAGTGCAGTGGTGTGATCTCGGCTCCCTGCAGCCTCTGCCTCCAGGGTTCCAGTGATTCTCCTGCCTCAGCTTCCCAGGTACCTGGGATTACAGGCATGTGCCACCACACCCAGCTAATTTTTGTATTTTTAGTAGAGATGGGGTTTCACCAAGTTGACCTGGCTGGTCTCGAACTCCTGACCTCAGGTGATCC